TTGTTTCTAAAAATGAATCAATGCTTTTTGTTCCTCCTTTTACAAGCTTCACTTTGGTATATTACATGCTTGATAAAAAAAAATCTGTAATAGGAGAAATTTGATCTTGAAGTTTCAAAGTTGGATTTGTGTTTTTTCATGTGTTGAGCTTGCTGTAAATGCCCCAAGAGGGAGTGAATTGGGCTAATTGAAAATTTAAATAAATTGCATTAATAATAAGTAAGATAAAGGAATGAAATCACCAATTATGAGCGTTAGATGAGCAGAGCTTGGCACAATTGATTTATCAGGGTTCAACTCCTACTACTTGAGTCTACGTCCAATCTTTAGGAACCTCCTGAGATTTCTAACTATATTACAAGATTAAGTCAAACTCTTGGTTGCCTTAGTACATTGTTAGACTTTTCAATAAGTCTGAAATTCTCTCCCTTACAAAGGTAATGAAAAATCCCCTTAAGCTCCCTAAGCTTAAGTTCCTCTGTTTTGAAGATATAAAACAGGGATAAATAGAGTAAGTTCAAGAATGAACTACTACTACTTTTAAACTCTCTCTAAGAGTAGATATATAATCAATAAATTTTTTTAATAATAATTAATATACAGAAGGTAGGTAACTTTAATGCACAAATAAACATAGAATGTTCTTGTTGGTTCACGTTGTTCACTTGTCTTTTCATGTTTCATAAATGAGTCTATTTATAGTTAATGATCATCAATGATCTGTTAGACTCATAAATTCTTTAGTTGGAGGTTTCTTATGATCTATTTCCTTGTTGCTTCATGTTTCCTTGGATATCCAAGCTTTTTTGAAGTTTTTCTATGGTTAAGGCAACAAAACAATGCTTTATAGTAGAGACTTCCTCTTTTGTATAGTAACGGTTAAAAACATTAAGTGCTTCTGACAAAAGTGGTTGAAGCTTACATGTTTTTGATATAACAGAAAGCAAGCTCAATGACTCAGTCAAAGATAAGCAAACTGAATAACTTCAAGGAAATAATTATGTTTAAATATCATTTGGTAAAAATATATAGTCAACACAATTAATTTTGGATGAAAAGAAGGATTGAAAGATGAGTTCTGGTAACCTTCAGAATTGATACAAAAAATAGAGCATTAAAATTTATAGTTGTGCTGATGTTACAGTGTCCTAATACCAGTGTTATAATGATGAGCAGACTTTAAAAGAAGGTTATAGCACATGTGTTGCTCTAATAGTACTAGTATAGTATATTACGTAAAAGATGAAAATTATTGATAATTTTGAGTAAATAAAGATATTTTTGGAAAGATTACATAGCACTAGTATTAGAAGGAAATGCCACTAAAGTAACATGATCAATCAAACCTCTTTGTAGGAGAAAAGAAAGGATAGTATTGGTGTTGAAGTGTTAGCATAGGTGTTACAAAAACTTGTACAAGACTTAGTACAGGTGCTGATGAAGTAACACAGGTGTTGTTTTAATTTATAGAAAGAATAGGACTAATGTTAAATAGATAGTACTAGTGCAAGGAAAAAGGTTTGAATAAGAGATAATCAATTGCACAGGTTTAAAGGGATAACACCAGTGTTAGAATGAGTAGGACTGGTGTTATATGAAATGTAAATCAATAAAACAATTAAGATAACTAAGGAAGCACTGATGTTAAAGCTTTTGATACTAGTGTTAACAATACTTAGAAACTCATTTAGAACAAGACAGCTTCAAGTACAATAATTATATTTAAGTCAAATAATTAACTAATAAGAGCATACCTTCTGTTACGTATAAACTTACTATAACACTTGCCTCAAGTATTATCCAAAAATCACACAATTCAAATAAACTAAGTATGGTTAAGGAGTTAATACTAAAACTAACTTAAGAAACAAATCATTTAAATCAATAACAATTTACATAATAGAAAAACACATGTATAAAACCTCTTAGAAAATTTTAAAGGATTAATATGTAGTGCACAGAAGCAAATAAGATAAATAGGGATAGTTAATTGATGTCATGATAGCATTAATTTTGCTGTCATGACAGCCCTTCCGGGCAAACTTCTGAAAGGTGCCGATTCACCATCTGGCCTCCAATTAAAGTAATTTTAAAGCTCACAAGTCAAATTCAAAGGGTACTATAAGTGTACCAAATTTTAAAAAGATCCAACGGTCAAATTAAAAATTAGACATGTTAAAAGTTTGATTATTTTTGCTGTCATGACAACTAAAAAGCTGTCATGATAGCACCTCCGGACTAACTTCTGGGGTGTACCATTTCATCATCCGACCTCCGATTGGAGCAATTCCAAAGCTCACATGTCACTTTTAAATAGTACTATTAGCATACAAAATTTTGGAAAGATCCAACTGACGGATTGAATTTCGTGCATGTTGCAACATCAACAAATATTGCTGTCATGACAGCTCCTCCAGACCAAATTTCGGAATGCGCCATTTCTCTATCTGGTATCCGATCGATGTGATTCCAAAGCCTACACAAAGCTTATAAAAGGTTTTACTTGAGACCCAAATTTTAGAGAAATCCAACAGTCGAATTAAGATTTGGACACCCAGATGCAAAAGTACAATTTTTTGGTAAAAACCATTTTCAAAATTGTCCAAGTCTCATCTTAATAGTTACAAACTTGTGGGAATACTTTAGACACATCAAATAGGACTAAAAACACCTGATAGAACATTTAAATGATAGAAAAACCTTTTATACCAAAATTTGACCACCCGGGTGCCATGTTTCAAAATGGACCCTAAACCCCCAAAATGCACAAATCATACAAGAGTGGCTAAAAACTATTCCAAATATCATATACACATATGAATACACATACTAAATATTTTCACTTGGCTCAGAGATCTCTATGGGTCCCACGTACCCACTCTCTCTATCCAAGGTGTATGTTTGCCCATAGCACACCATTTCCAATGTAACCTTTATATTTTCTTATGGAATCACATATATACTAAAATAAATATTTGCTTGTAGTGGAAATTTGGTCTACTAAATAAATTTATCAAAACCATACACCATAACCAAGTTTCCTAGCCACAAGTCTACAAGCAAATAAAAATTCATACACAAGTCATACAATCCACACATACTCACGCATATATACATAATCATATCCTATTGGCACCATAATCCTAAATACATTACAATAGATTTGCTCAAAAGAAAGGGGTTGTAGGTCTTTGCAATTCACAAACAACCCCTAGCTCTACTCCTTTCCCTGTCCTCCATTGGTTCCTTTGCCTGGACCTGAAAATATTGAAAAGAAAGGGATGAGATAACCACAGTCTCAGTAACAGAGAAATCTACATTGATTATTACAAAGCAAGCCATAATCGAATAAACGAATAATAAATTCAGCATAGTATAATTTAGCCATTTAAAATGCATGAATACATGACCAAGGCCGATATGGCCTTTCATGACCAACAGAATGCCCCTAACACTCTTTAACTCGTAGGTAAACCTTATACCTACTTGTAACTCCATTGGTACAAAACATAATCTAAGGTATGATCTAATCTACCGAACCGCCTATACCCCTTTGACGTGAATCCTGAGCAATCAAAGCTAACTCCCTCCTAGAGCCAGGCCGACTTACTCTCCATGTGAGGGCTATCTTGGCCTAGGCACTCAACCTTACACTTCATATGTTGGATTCCCTCCTTTACTGAGAGGTGTCGAACACTCAATAAACTAACCACTTTAGTGCACTGAGCCAATAATACGTGAGGCAACACTGAGTACTGGTAGTGTGCCATAGAATATCAAAAGTCCACACCTTCTCATTAGTGAACTCCCACCAAGATCTTGCCTTTTATTCGTGTCTACCTTTCCCGAGTATTGACCACTTCAACACTCTAAGGTAGTATAACATTTATAAATCTCCCTTAAACGGTTTCTTAGCCTATCTAAGGTACCTTAGTTACACTTCTTTAAGTGCAACTTCTATTCTTTATGATTACAATACATGCAAACAAATTTCATTTCCATAAAAACATTGTTGTTAACTAATTAGAAAACATATTTTCACTATAATCAAAGTCCATAACCCCTTATAAAGCACATTTAATCTTTTAAAACATGTAATGCATGATAGCTAGTAATATTTATTCAAAAATAGCTAAAACAAAGTAATAGAAAATATAAATTCCCCTGTTACCTCAACCCTTTGGTACCAAAGGGGTTCCTCTTGTACAAAATAGGACTTGGCTTGTTCCTTAACTTCCGAACAAATTCCACCAACAATCCCTACAACATATAAGTGACCTACATCACTTATCATGACAAATAGCATTAATGAAGACTATAACTCATACCATACAACTTGGGTCAATGAGTCATAATCCATCATAATGGTCCATATATTAAACTAACCATTCACATAATATTACTTAACCACCAAAACCATTTATTAGCCATCATTAGGCTAATTTCCAATTTATATAATTTTTAATCAATTAAAAACCTTCACTTAGTGTCACCAACTTTCACTATTAGCCTTTATAATGAAAACCAAACCTTAATTTAAATCTTATTGGGCTCAAATAGCAAAATTATAACTAAGTCAATAGGCTTAAACCATTGAGGAGCAAAACCCAATCTCTCAGGGTTTAGTTTGTGTCCAAAACACCTCTTTTCATCCTATTATCCACTCAAAATATTAGAACACTATATAAAAACTTAAAACATCTTCCCTAGGATTCAAAGAAATAAAAGCTTACGAGAAAAAGCCTTTGGGACCAAAATATAAAAATTTTCTCTTCTAAAAATTTAAGAAAATCAAGAGGGAAGGAAGAGGATTGAAGTAGGGAGTTTACCTATTGTGTAGCCGAGCTCGCAACGGTCATAAAGCCTCTTAGATCCAAGCTCAAATCCCTCTCTTCCTCTTCTCTTCTTCCTCTCACTCTCTCGTTGATAGGAAATTAGTCGCTTATCCTCAAAATTACACTAAAGCTAACCCTAATGCAATATAGGGCCAACCCTAGGTCATCTCCCAAGGAATGGTTTTAAGTCTAATTAAAAGTTATCTAGTGAAATAAATCAACCAAAGTTTGTAGGAATTTAGTTATCTAGCTAATTATCTAAACTAATTACCTAATATGCAAGTAATTAAAATGCTAGTGAAAGTGAGTGAAATGAACTTCCCTTTTCACAATAATGGAACCCTAGAGATTAGTTGATTTTGGACTCATTATCTTCTCATGATTAGGCTAAGTTTAGCTTCCCTTTCCTCTTGACTAAAGCTGTCATGACTTAAGAAAATTATCCTAAGCCAATTAACCTAATTAGCTAACCTCCCTAGGTCTTAGATTAAAGTCCCTAGTTCAATTAACCAATTGGTGAAGACATTAGCCAAGTGATTCACTCAAAATCCTCTCTCAACAGCCATGGTCAAACACATAAATTGAGCAACCACAAGATTATGTCAAGCTACTCAACAACACAAGCATTAACACCACAAGATTATGCAATATTAACACAAGAAATTCACTAATTGAAAAACACAAGAGTATGTGCCAAACAAAGAGTGGCAAAATTCAGTCATGGCTGTCCAAGGAAGAAATTAAATGAAACAATCCTCTCTCTTTACATCAACATCAAATTCAAATTAGAATTTATAAGCTAAGATGATTAAACCCTAGATTAAGGAATCTAACCATCTAGTAAAAAGAGAAGAGGATAGGAAACAAAAGAACTTAGCCAATTTGAAGCTCAAGACTCATCCTCCATCTTCATCTCTCTAGGATTCCACAAAGAAACTTAGCCAATCTTCATCTTCAAGAACCCTAGTGATTGCTTGTGAAGGCCAAACTCCATAGGTAATGAAAGGATGTCTAAGAAATGCATGTATATAAAAAAAATAGGGTTAGCATCAAAATAATGCTAAATCAAGATATATCCCCTTAATATGCAAAGCATAACCTAACTCAATTGAGTGAACACCTTAACACAATGAGGATGGAAAGAAATGATAAGAAATAATAAAACAAATGGAATGGATGAGCTAGGCAACTTTTTATTTTTATTTTTATTTTTTTCTTTCTTTTCTTTTTTTTTTTCTTCTTTTTTTTTTTTTCTTTTTCTAGCAACTTTATTTCTTTTCTTTTTGACTATATTTTTTTTTTCAAATCTATCTTTGTTGTTTTTTTTTTGGTTGCCCCTAACTCTTTGAAAACAATGGAAGTAATGGATAGAGAAATGATAATAAGCATCCACTCATTTGATCTAGGACATGCAATGAATATTAAAAAGACATATAAAAGTGTAACAGGCATTCCTTGGGGAAAAATAGGGTGAATATTTTTTTTTTAAGAATCAAACCAAAGGCTCAAAGTGGCTAACAAAGGATAATAAATAATAATAGGTTGGCTATTTGGCTCTTGGCTATTTTTTATGAATGCCATCTCTCATCTCCTATCAAACAAGTGAAAGATATATGGTCTTAATTAAGAAGTGAAACAAATTCTAGAGGGTAACATCACTAAGGAATTAATCACACATGAGTGTTTAGCCTCTTCCATGAAAGGGTAATATGCCACTCTAATCCATTAATTCAAGGTAAAAGAATGTTCACTTCACACCTATTCAATCCTAAAAATTACCACATCTCAAGAATCAAAATATTCATTCAAGAGCTAGGTAATTATGTAACCTCAAACAAAACAAAACAAAGAAATTTTTTTTTTGAATTTTTTTTTTGCAAAACCAAACAAAACCAAACAAACAAAACAAAATGTTTATTTCTCTCCCCCACACTTAAATCATGCATTGTCCTCAATGTATGTATAGACTAGTGATAAAATAAGGTGAGATCAATAATGAATGCATAACAAAAGTGTGGTGCAGATTTTTTTTTTTTCAAACTAAAACACAAAACAAAGAAGTCAAATAAAGCAAATAAACTCTAACTTTCCTACTAGGTTCATCTCCCCCACACTTGCAATTTACTCAATCAACAAATCAAAGCATAAAGCAAAGTAAAGTAAAAAGAAAGGGTGAAGAAGATACAACCTAGTTTAAATCTCCACAAGCTCTTGAAGTTGAAATTTTCATCTTTGAGGAGTAACATGAAGCTACTCATTATCATCTTCATTCCAAGCATCTTAGGTGGAGGCTCAAGATCAATTTGTAATGGCTCCAAGATGTATGGTGTAGAATCTTTCATAACTTTATGTGGTTGATCATCTTCATGGTTAGCCAAGGTCTCTTCCATTGCAATGATAAATCCTCTAAGTACATGGGGGTTCTTGGCCATATCATCATTTAGACCTATAAAATCAACAAAGAACCCTTCCTCAAGCATATTGGGTTTTAAAGAAGTGCACTCATGATTAATTTCACTCAAACATACATCATCAATTATTTTATCAAGTAAATGATTGCTACTATTTTCAAGCACAAATGAATTAATTTCTAAACAAATAGGGCATGGAGAATCATGTGAACAATCACAAGTGAATAGGAAATTAGAACAAGTACTATGAAACAAAGCCAACTCATCATCAAAATCATCAAGCATTAAATCAATATTATTCTCATTACTATTTGGCTTTGTAAAATCAATTCCTTGATTTTCAACCTCCTTGTCATCTTGAGTTATTTTCAATTCCTTGTTCAAATCCTTAGTAGGAGCTACAGCCTTTTCAAGTTGAGCAAGTTCCTCTTTGAAATCAAGAGATGGTTTGGCTACATTGCCTTGTTCACCTACAAAAGAAGGTAAACAACCTTTCTCAAGCACATCATGGTTAGAAGAAACAAGTGCATGTGCACTATTAACAATATCACAAGAAGGAATTGGAATTTCAAGCATACAAGATACATCATCGCCACCATCAACATCCATTTCATTTTCTTTATTCAAGCTAAGTGAAGAGTCAACACTTTCAATGATATTTGAATTTAAATCAAGAGAATTATCATGTGAACTCAAAGTGTTTTTCTCCCAAGGGTATACTTTTTCACAATATGATTCATGCTCAAACATCCAAGGTGATTCAACTATAATTTCTTCATCTACGTCATCATCATTTAAATCATTATGCTCATCATTAGATAAAGTCAAATGTGAAGAAGAATCAACCTCAATAGGAATAGGAGAAATTACCTCTTGAAGTAAGGGTTGGATTGACTCCTTCTCTTTTGGAGATTGAGTGGCTTGAGGTGTATTTATATTCTCAATAGCTTCATGAGCAACTTTTTGTGTGTCTTCAACTTGAAACATGTAATTTCTCTCTTGTGAGGCTTGGACTACTCTATGTGGTTCACAATATCCTTTTAGAATAGGACAATCATAATAGAAGTGGGAGATAGCCTCACAATGCACACAATAAAATTTACCCCTTTGTGCATATAATTTTTCTAGATGCTCAATGTCAATGGATGGTGTACGCTCAACATGAGTGCTTAGATTGGATTCAAAACTCATGGGATTGAAAAATTCATAATTGTGACTTGGATGGAAATGATCATGATATGAGGGTGGATAATCAAAGTTATATTGTTGAAATTGATTATGGAAATGGGATGTATGGTCAATGTTAAGCGCTGGAAATGGATGGGAATGGATGTCAAATGAATGATGGAATGAATCATGATCATGAAACCAAGCCATAAAATGCAATGAAATTTATATCCACAAGCAATGATTCAAATTCAAGCTCAAAATGATGGAAAGACCAAGGAAGCTCAAATGATATGCCCTTTGCAGGTGTATGAGTGGAAATGCAAGCAAACAAAAATCAAGAGAAATTTTTTTTTCTTTTTTTTTCTATTAGAATTAAAAACAATAAAAAAAAATCAAAAACAACACCAAACAAGTAGAAAGAGAGTTAGAAATGCTCAATCAAGAAGCTTTGACAATTCTGGAATTTGCACAGTAGGCTTTCTGGAGATAGTGAACTTGTGGATTTTTTAGCAGCCAATCCATATGAGAAATTCACCTGAAACTTTTATGAGATACACAAGAGATATTCAGAAAAATTATATAAAACTTTCAGATTACAAATCCCTCCCAATCGTTCCCAGAATTTTTCACATGTTGGTCCACAGGTCTGGAGAAACAGGATTTCGTCCAGAAGACCTTCAGAGCTTCTAACAAACTTTCAAATAGGAAAATGGAAAAATTGAAGAAAATCCTAAACACAAGAAACAAATATAAGACAGTGATAAGAAAAATCAAACTCAAATCAATCAATTTGAACGCACAAAGAGGAAGATATGCTAACTCAAAGTTGAAACAGGGTTTTGGGAATCCTCTGTAATGGCTCCCTGGACCTTGTTAGATTGTAAAATTTCCACAGGACACTTCCCACGTCCAAAATTGACCAAACCAATTTTAAAGTGAAGCTAAGATACAGAGCTTTCAATGAAATAAATTTCAAGTTCAAATTCCCTCAGACTCATTTCCAGTTAATTTTTCAATTTCAGATAGAGACACTAGAAACAGAGTATTTTCAGCTCTACACCAAACCAACGAAAATTGCACTAATTTTTTTTTTCAAAACAGAATAAAAACACTCAAAACACATAAAAAACACTAAACAAAACACAAAACACAAATTTTTATAATTTTTCAAAAAATTTTCCAGGAACACTAAAAATGTAAATTAGGTACTAAACAACCTTAGAATTAAACTTAAACCATTCCCCGGCAACGGCGCCAAAATTTTGATAGGAAATTAGTCGCTTATCCTCAAAATTACACTAAAACTAACCCTAATGCAATATAGGGCCAACCCTAGATCATCTCCCAAGGAATGGTTTTAAGTCTAATTAAAAGTTATCTAGTGAAATAAATCAACCAAAGTTTGTAGGAATTTAGTTATCTAGCTAATTATCTAAACTAATTACCTAATATGCAAGTAATTAAAATGCTAGTGAAAGTGAGTGAAATGAACTTCCCTTTTCACAATAATGGAACCCTAGAGATTAGTTGATTTTGGACTCATTATCTTCTCATGATTAGGCTAAGTTTAGCTTCCCTTTTCTCTTGACTAAAGCTGTCATGACTTAAGAAAATTATCCTAAGCCAATTAACCTAATTAGCTAACCTCCCTAGGTCTTAGATTAAAGTCCCTAGTTCAATTAACTAATTGGTGAAGACATTAGCCAAGTGATTCACTCAAAATCCTCTCTCAACAGCCATGGTCAAACACATAAATTGAGCAACCACAAGATTATGTCAAGCTACTCAACAACACAAGCATTAACACCACAAGATTATGCAATATTAACACAAGAAATTCACTAATTGAAAAACACAAGAGTATGTGCCAAACAAAGAGTGGCAAAATTCAGTCATGGCTGTCCAAGGAAGAAATTAAATGAAACAATCCTCTCTCTTTACATCAACATCAAATTCAAATTAGAATTTATAAGCTAAGACGATTAAACCCTAGATTAAGGAATCTAACCATCTAGTAAAAATGGAAGAGGATAGGAAACAAAAGAACTTAGCCAATTTGAAGCTCAAGACTCATCCTCCATCTTCATCTCTCTAGGATTCCACAAAGAAACTTAGCCAATCTTCATCTTCAAGAACCCTAGTGATTGCTTGTGAAGGCCAAACTCCATAGCTCTTGAATGATGGAAATGAGCTTCAATCCTTGTGAAAATGGAAGGGATGGAACGAAAATGAAGAGAGGAGAAGAATGGTATGAGTTTTGTGGAGGTTTGGTGGCTGAAAATGGAGGTTAGGATGCTGGAAAATGAAGAACAAAAGAGAGAAAATGAAGAACACTATGAACAAGAGAGAGAGAATGTGGAAGATGAATGAGATATGTGTTGGATCCCATTTAGGACTTAAAATGGCGTGCTCCTTGGTGTCTCCCATCAGCTGAAGCTTAATTAAAATAAGGAAAAAGAAATTAAAATGTAAATGGGAGCCTTGTCACACTTGCAAGGTGGCAACTTTCTATTGGTTTGTAGATGATTCCAATGTGTGCCTAATTTCCCATGTGTCATTCACATCATTTTAGCTGATCTAATCCCTCAAAATAATCATAATTCACGTGCAAACCATCAGCCATTGTCCTCAAGGAGTGTTGACCTCAATTGTCCAATTGATGCACAAGTCACATGCCACCTATGTCACATAAATCACATAATTCAATTAAATAGCATATGATATAATAAAATCTAATTCATGTCCAGAATTAAATTCATATTTAGAAGGGGGAATTTATTAAATTAACCAAGTTTTAGGCTGCACAAAATTATATAAAAATTTTCACACAAAGGCAAACCAAAAACTAGGACAAACTAAGACACTTAAGAAAGTGTTGACTTTTTTATTTAATTACTCCCAAACTAAAATGAATTTTAAAAATATAATTTCACCATTCATCAACTGGACATAAAATGAACTTTGTCAATTTTTCTTGTACATTTTCTCAAAAGTTCATTTTTTGGACCAAAATGCCCCTAGTGCACTGATCTTAGAAACTTAGGCAAAGTTCCAAATCTAATGCAATGTGTGCACTTGAAGGTGATAAATAATTAATAAAATGGTCCTAATTGACAAATAAAAGTGGGTAACAAATGTGTTCTATCACTCGTCCATGCCTTTCTTTTCCTTTTTTTTTCCTTGTTTCATTTCTGCGTTCATTTTCCTCTTTAAAAAGCTGATCAAAAACTTTAAGGAAAATTACAAGAAAGGGCCCGATATTTTTTCTTATAGCACAAAAGCTCGGGTCAACTTTGGTAATTTTCCCTATAGTTAAAAATAAAATAAAACCCAACTTTTGCTTAGTAAAATTCAAGTTCCAGACCTCTATCAAATTATTCTAAATTTTAATATAATTATAGATATTTTATTTTATTTTATTAAAATAAATATGAGTCTTAAAATTTCAGGATGTTACAGTTATACTTAGTCAGATTTGATTAATATTAAGCCAACTAACTTAGGTTCAAGTTAAGAAAACCTAAAATACACAAAACTTCTCTTTATTTTGTAATCATCAAAACTAGGGTTCAACATTTCTCCCTTTTTTTTATGATAACAAAACTTAGATGTAAAGTATTAGTTCTCGGAGAGACTTTGCTCTCTACTTCCTGAAAGAGATAAACACATATTCAAATAGAAGAAATGCACAATTTGTGTGTATATATATATATATTTAAAAGGTGTTACAAAGAGAATATCAGAGAATATTTAATAGATAAACTAACCAACTAACAAACAAACACTCAATTCACTTCTTATAGATAGTATCAAAGAAATTTATTAACTCATGAAATTTCTTGGTAGTGGAAGATGAAGGTTTGGGTGTTCCAAAAGGTTGACAGGATTGAGGTTTAGAGGTTTTAGATAAAGGTTGAGGCTTATAAGTCTCTGAATCCTTTGCTTTGAATCTATTGAGTCTAGGCAAGGCACTTCTTGGTCTTCTCACAATAGGTTGTCTTATGCTTACCATTTCCTGAATCTTCAATCTCATGCTTGTCTAAGCTATTATTTTGAACCTTACTGTATACCTTGCTGTTTGCCTTTTTTTCAAACTTTGCATCCTTACTCTTTTCCCCCTTTTTGTCATCAGCAGAGGGCTTAGATAGATCAACAAGGATAAAAAGATTGGAGGAAGGTATGTAGGAAGAAGAGGTACCACTTTCAATCCAAACTGGTCTATTTTTGAACATTGGTGGAGGCTTGAAAATTGCACCAGAATCTAAAATGGCAGTGAGAGGCATAAGAGACAATACAAAATTAGGATTTCTCTTACTTAAGTCCTGAAAGGCCTCTGTGTAATTGATCCCTAAGAAGAAGGAAGTAGAAGGTGGAGGTGACTGTGTAGACTCCAATTCTTCCTTATTATTATAAATCTCAATATATTCTCTAGCAATCTTTACCATAACTAGTGTAAGCCTATTACTATCTAATGCAAGTGATTCAACTCCTTCCAAAATATCTTTAAACATAGCTCTTTCTTTAGAATCAGTAAAGGAAACTAGTCTAACCCTTAGATTTTCAATCTTTGAGGATATCTATAAGTCACTATCAATTTCCTCATTAGTCCTCTGTTTTGAAGTAAAGGTGCTAGATGTGTGCACTGACGCAAAATCTTTAACAAACTCTATTTCAGCATTCTCATATATAGAGACACCAATAAGGGTACCCATCCTAAAAGGATAGTAATACTCAGATGAGTCCCTTAGTCTAACTGGTCTACCTCTCAAACTCAAAACTTGAGCTCTCAACAAGCGAATTTCTTCCTTGAATTCTTCTTTGAAATCTTCATAGGCTTTCTTTTCTCTTTGATTAAAGTCCTTAGCTTGTCTCTCAAGACACAAAGTGAAAAGCTCAGCTTGAATCTTAAACTTCCTATCCAACCACTTGATAGTATCTAAATCAAGATATAGTCCTCTCAATAGTGATAGGATAGATAAGTCATTCAAAGCCGGTTGACACTCTTGTCTTACATGAGCATTGGGAGTTGTAACTAAGTGAGCTTTAGTTTGAACACTACCTCTTCCTTCTTTCTCTTTAATAAACTCCATTTTCTTTAGAGTTATAGAGTTGATCTCCTTATATCCCAAAACCTCATTGCCTTCTAGATACATGATCTTTTAATCTTCTAACATTTTAAAAATCACATTTCTATAGATGAGATACTTTCTATCTCTCTTTCTGCTTAACTGGACTAAGTTCTTGATCTTCTCAAAAATGATAGAAGCAATATCTCACTTGAATCCA